AAAATTCTACCCTACTTGGTAAGGAACCCTGGTGGCGTATTACTTAGGTATTGAGTCGAAACCACCAGCCGCTCAGAAGACAAGGCTTTTTACTCTCCTCAGAACTCCAGTCTCTGAAATTCACGGGGGCTTGGGGGTGGGCATTTCTACCCCAGTCTCATGACTCAGAATAGACTCCCCGGCTGGGAGTTTGGGATCCTTCTAGGTTATGCACACCAATGTTGAGTGGGCTTTAAGCATATGTGCATGAATCCCTCCCAGCCTCCTTCCGCAGCCACCCCTCCCCCCGCTCCACGTTAAAGTGAAGCCAAGCAGGAGCCTTGCTCTTCGTGGGTCCTCTTGAGGTCTAGTTCCCAATCGGGTTGTTAGGAGGAAGCTTCCGTTTCAGTGCGAGTGGGGCCCACGTAGCGGACAGAAAGGAAAGATGCAAAGACCAGGCATCTTGGCCTCTTTAGTTTGCAAAGTGCGGGGAAGGTGCATTTGGGGGAGGGCATCACACCGTGGTTCTCTGAGTTAACTACTCAAAAAGAAGAGGTGGGGGAAACAACCAGCTGGATTTGCTTGGGAAAATCTTTGCCAGTTTAGGCATAGCTGGGGAACTGTGTCATTCGCAGAGGTGGTGGCGCCCAAGGGTGGATGGAGGGTGGAGGGTGGAGGGGGAAACTTTCTGATGGAATCCGGCAAATTTTATAGCGCCTCCAACTCGAGCAGCTTTATCACAGGCCCAGGCGAACGACCGCTAGAAGGCGCAGTGTATCAACTGTCCATCAGCCAAGGGGCCACCTGGGTCTGTTCTGAAGGGCCATTTTCCGGATCCCCATGTCAGGATCTGCTTACCCACAGAAGTTAGGACGGAAGCCTGGGGTCTAAACCTACAAGAGCGAAAAGGGAGGGATTGTGTAGCCGAGGGCAGCATCTTGTGTGTCGTGTCAAGGATTTTGTACCCCATACACCTAACTAAACGACTCCCTGCCATCCAGTCGATGCTGACTCTGTGACTCTATAGGACAATGCTGAACTGCCCCTGTGGGTTTCCCAGACGGTAACTCTTTCCGGGAGTAGAAAGCCTCATCTTTCTCCCCCGGAGAAGCTGGTGGTTTTGAACCATTGACCTTGCAGTGCAACCTCCGGGGCTCTTATTGTATCTCTGTGCTTTGGGTTCCCTCCCCTTTCCCCGCCCAGTGACTTCACCTTGTCTTCCAGGTGACTTCCTGTTTTATAGCTTCCTTGATGTTTGAAACACCCTGGCATGTGGAAGAATTTCAATCCTGAAACCTCTACATGCGTTTGATATACTTTCCGTGATTGAGACAGGAATCTCTAAGTGGGTATTGAATAATGGATAAGCCCACATCTTCGTAGCAACTTCAGTTTATGTAAACTGACCTTTGTCGGTCCATATCTCAGCCTTTTCATTAAAATGCTCACTGCCTAAGGAACCAGCGCGTTGTTTAAAGCTTCAAATGTGTTTTCAGACAGAAATATCTCAAGAATGCGAGTCAGGTATGTTTCTCAGATAAATAAGCGGAGAGGCGTTGCACACAGGGAAATTCTCGGCTCTCAGGTTTCGCGAGGTTGAAATCCAGCGCGCGCGCCATTAATCATTCATTGGGGTCGGTCCTTCAGTCCGTGGGAGTTCCGAATAAGCCAGCGAGCCCTGAGATAATCCTTCCTGCCGCGGGGACCCTGGGGCGGGAGAGGACAGCCCAGCGGCCTGTCTGGCACACGTGTGGGTGCCCGAGCCCTGGCCATGTTGCCAGGGTCCCGGCGCCGCTGCGCTGGTGCCCTCACCCTATAGGACTCGGAGCGGGGGCTTCTCGGAAGGAGATCCAAACTCGGCGACGCTCTTTGGCACAAATGGGAGTTTCCACCAGGAAAGCAGCGAGGCTGGTGGCGTCACGTTCAGGGCGGCTGGCCGACGCTGAAATAAACACAGTGGGTGGAATAATCCAGTAACGACCACCACCACCACGAGCACAGCCCTTAGCACGGACCGAAACAGCCTTACCCTAAAACCTGCCCAAGTTGGGCTGCAAAGCCCCCTTGGGTTCTCTCCCCACCCCCCACCTCCGCTTCCCCCAGCACGCGGCGGGGTGTGGTCCCTGGGCGGGACGAGGTCCCCAGCTCTTCCCGGGAAGGGGGCTGCGATAGCGGGGGTGAAAGGGGGTGTCTTCTAGCCTAGGGGCAGGACCTTTGACAATTGGCTCCCGGTCGCGGCCAGAGTGCCTCGCTGGGACGCCGGGGTGCGGCGGGAAGGGGAAGGGAGGGCGAGGAAGGAGGCGGATGCTGTCCAGCACCTTTGCCTTCGCGGCCACGTTCCGCTCCCGCCGCCGCCGCTGGGAGCCTCGCCGGTGTCCCCGAGGCCGACTTGGGGGTGGCTCCGGCCCCGGCTGCTCCTGAGAACTGCTGGCTTGCGTGGCCCCGGGGTGGGCACACCCAGCGCCCTAGGGTGCCGCTTCGCGCCGCCAGCTTTTCCTCCCACTCACTCTCTCGCATCTCCGCCCTCGTCCAGCCCGCTCGCCCCCGGGCCCGCGGGGCTCCCTCCCCGGACCGGCCGGGGAGGACACAAAGCGGCGGGTGAGGGGCAGCTCCGCCGGCGCGCCCCGAGCAGTGAGATCACCGGCGTTATAAATATCCCGGTGCCAGCGTCGAGATCCGCTCCGGTGGCCTCGCGCTCGCCCTTTCCCCCCTCCCCCCCGGGGGCTATGTCCACCCGGCGCGGCGTGGGGGGCAGCGCGAGAGGCACGCCGCCGCACGGGGGCTACCCAGCCCAGGACCGGCCCCACAAGATGCACTTCGAATCCCCGCGGCTGGAAGAATGAGCTTGTCCTTGCTCCTCTTCCTCAGCCACCTGATCCTCAGCGCTTGGGCTCAAGGGGAAACGCGCCTCGCCCCCGGAGGGCACCCGGGACCCGCTGCGACAGAGAGGAGCCCGGGACGAGCCGACGCCAGCCCGAGCTGCGGGAGCACCGCGTCCGCTTCTTCCTCCTCCTCCACCTCCGCGTCCCCGGCGGCGGCGGCTCCCGGCTGCCCAGGAGGCGGCTCGGAGCAGAGCGGGTTCCAGTGGAGCGCCTCTGGGCGCAGGACCGGCAGCCTCTACTGCAGAGTGGGCATCGGTTTCCATCTGCAGATCTACCCGGATGGCAAAGTCAACGGAACCCACGAAGCCAATATGTTAAGTAAGTTGCTCGTGTTTTCCTGAAAACACCCATCCTGGGCGGCGTGGGGAGACCCAGGGGGTGGATGGTGATTCCTGGGCGATAGGGCGCCTCTTTCGGAACCTCAGTCACCGGCAGGTCCCCTCAACAGCCAGGTGTGTGGGGCCGAGACGGAGCTAGGTGGGCGTGCAGGCAGGATTCTATGATTGTGGGCATAAATGGTGATTCCTTGCGGGGAGGTTAGCCGGAGAGCGGCACGCAGGCAGCGCCTCCCGTTCCCTCTGCCCTGGCCCCAGAGAGGAACCCCCCAAGCCGTGCCTGGAGGGAAAAGTACCATCTGGATCCCTGTCCTCCTTCAGCTTCTGTTTACTCTTGCATATGAACTAAATACCGCAAAACCGAAAAGAAAACCAATCTCCACTGCCCTCCAGGCGAGTCCTACTCAGACCTTCTGTTTAGGATTTCTGAGACTGTAAATCTTCACAGGAGCAGGCAGCCTCTTTCTTCCAAGAAGCAGCCGGTGGGCTTCAACTGCTGAACTAGGCTGGCATTTTTCACTAGGGACCAAAGTACGTCCTCATTACAGAATATATGTGTGTATGGGTATACAATCCAAATCCTGAATACCTTCCCTCCAACTATTACCATAATCCAAATATATACTGTGTGTATATATTGTGGGGCCTGGTAATAATATGGATGTGTTGTTCTGGGGAAGAAGGTCTTGAAGGAGGACAGTGATCTGGACAACTCCGGCTCGCCTCAGGAGAGAAGGGAAGTGATGGACATTTCAAATGCTTAATTTCAGAGGAAAGGTTACCTTTCCTATCTTCAATCCGGGGCAGCAGCTTGCTGGGAAAAGTGGCTAAACTGTAGTCCTATGAGCAATTAAGGGGACGTGCTTTATTTTAGGGAAAAAACTCAGAGCAGATTCAAGTTAGCACAGGTGTAAATTATGTTTTTTTAAAAAAAAGTTTTGAATGTTCCCTCTCTCCTTACATTGTGTTCTTTCCCTTTGTTTTCATTTTCTTTTCACTTCATTTTCGTTGCCAGATCATCACAACCGCTCTTCTAGTTCCTCACAAGACCCCTAGTAGCTGAGGGAGTGATGGTTTGGATTGTGACTGTGTGTGGTGGTGGTGGTGGAGGGGGAGCGATCTCTGCTGATCCCTCCACCAGTCAGAACCCCAGGGGGCTTCTGAGATAACCTGGGAGAGAAACTACCTTAGGCTTTCCGCTAGGTCTTTAGTATATATCCCTGGAGTACTCAAACTCGCTCTGGCTCAAACTTCTGGTCCCAAGGACTACTGGCTTCTCACTGGAGCTCAGAGGAGCGCACAACCAGACAGCCACTTTGAGAGCCCGATCACAGGTGTGCAAGTTTATTCACAAAGCTCCCTGTGTTGTAGCAGCTGATTCCTCCTAGTCTCTTTAGTTTTTCAGGTTGTGTGGGGAGCAGCAAGCCAGAGAGGACTATACATATCCCAGTGAGCCCCATGGCTTCTCACAGGAACTCAAGTAACTCCCCTCCTGTGATGCTAAAGGCAGGATCTATCAGTGCGAAGAGGAATTTGATGAGATCTGAAGGGCTAGGGAGCTCAGACTTTCTTTTCTTCAGTATTTCCATCTGTCCCACTCAATGATTCCCTCCATCTGACACCAGAGCTTCTTGCTCACCTTCAGCAATCTGTCCTCCTTTCTATTACCTGAACATCTTCTGTTTTCTCTTCTTTTTATAGTTTATCCAGGAATCTATAACTAACAGGGGGCAGGTTCTGAGTTCCCAAGGTTAAATCCAAATTTCATGGGACAAAAACCAGGTTGGAATCTAGGGGCTAGAAAAGTGTGTCTGGGGTATGGGGATCTCTGAGATAAGGCTAATTCCCTCTTCCTGTCAAAGAATTCATATGGAACAAAGGAAGACATTTGGCGCTTAGGCCTTGTCAGAGGAGAAGTTGTAAGAAAGTTACAACAAAGTAACAAAGGGTGCATTTAGCGAAAGCAAGCAAGCAAGCAAGCAAGCAAGCAAGAAAAATTAGATTGGCCAGTATATGTTAATTCCAAGGTACTATTAATTTTAAAATTCACGTTGAAATATATAAAAAGTGAGGAGCATTTCTTAAATAAAGCCTAGATCAAACTTACTTTAACTTGCTTTATTCCAGTTTATGACAGTCCTTTAGCTTTTAGTCTCTGCATGCCTCTCTTATGTCTTTTGTATTCATTTATGCATGCACCCGTTTTGAGTAATCTACCTTACCAGGCTTAACATTTTGGTTACATTGGTATTAGGGTTTGTTTGTTTCTTACAGAGGAGAGTTTCATGTAGGTGTCCCAAATCACAGTGATATTCTGCCTTGGACTCTAGAGAGTCCAGTAGAATTCCATATGCATTTTGTTACATTGGTCAGTGAACACGAAAAATGAAATAGCTCTTTTGGAGTTTAGAAAAGTAAATGAGTCTTTGTGCTTAAGCCACTGTGCACTAAAACCACTTACCTGCTAATTGCAGTTTTCATTTATCTTTTTAAGGACAACACTGACAATTAAGGTGGAGGTTCTTGACTGTAGCATAGTGTGGATGAAGAAACGTTTGTCTAAGTCTTAAGAGAGAGACTGACTGACAGAGGTGGGGTCACGTAGCCCACAGAGGACAAATCATCTCATTTTACTCTTTGTGAGTTAAAACTTACGATTGCATTCACAATCTCATTAATTCAGAAAAGACTCAAAGCTTTGTCACAAACTGCATTCTAGCAGGTTCTTATAAACTCAACCTTTGTAATATTTCCCAGATTGAAAGATACATGCCTGCATGTTTCACAATTACCATTAAAAATGGAAAAACCTGAAAACTAAATATTTTCAAGTATATTATAGTCTTACAATTGAAACATGTTTAGTTTATTTCAAATATACAATTAATATATTGCTAGCTTCTCTTATAAATGGAGATATATATCCACGTTTTACAGACAGAAAATTGAATTAAGTGTATTCTATATAAGCCTGTATTATGAGGTAAGCCTAGGAGGGTTGAGAAAATAAGGAAAAGCCACTTTTAAAGATCTATTATTGCATAGAAACAAAGATTTTGATTTTACATATACGCATTTAAGTTTATTTTTAATACAATACTTCTGTCTTATTTGAGGCTATTAAAAAATAGAGAATTGGGCAATTCTGAAAGTTAGGGAGGAAAAGTTTAATGCTATGGCTGAAAAAGCCAAACTGTGTATTTAATATGTGACAGTTCCACAAATATATTTTGGCTGACTCATAGGGATCCCATATTCAACAGACCAAAAGCACTGCCCAGTCCTACTCCATCTTACAGTAAGTCTGTATTGCAATCATTGTGTCAATCCGTCTCTTCTACCCTGACGTTCTAATTTACCAAGTATGAGGCCTTTTCCCAGGGATGGGGCCCTCCTTATATTATGTTCAAAGCATATGAAAAACTTCCTTATTCTTGCTTCTAAAGAGCATTCTGGCAGTATATTTATGGCAGATTTGCTCCTCCTTCTGGTGGTGGCGATGTTAGGTGCCACTGACTTGATTCTTCTGACCCACAGTAGCCCTGTCTTACAGAACAAAAGTCTGCCTGGTCCTATACCATCCTCAGAACTGTTGTTATATTTGAGCTTATTGTACAACTATTGTATCAATCCATCTCTGTGTGAGACCCTTCCTCTTTTTGCCAACTTTCTACTTTACCAAGCGTGCGATATTTTACCATGGTTCGGTCACTCTTGATTACACATCACAAGTATGTGAGATTAAGGCCCGCCCTCCTCACTGCTAAAGAATGTTTTGGCTGCACTTTCCCAAGACACATTTATTTGTCTTTCTGGTCTATTTAATATTCTTTACCAACATCATCATTCAAATTATCCATTATTAGTAGGCTTTCCTTATTCATTAATGGTGCAACTTTCCTATGCATATAAGGTGATTGAAAATACTATGACTTGGTTAGGCACCCCATACCCTTCAAAGTGATAGCTTTGCTTTTTAACACGTTACAAAGGGTCTTGTAGATTTCCCCAGTACAACACACTGGTTCCTTTCTTGACTGCTGCTCCCATGGGTTTGACTGCTGATCCAAATCCGATGAAATCCTTGACAATTTCAAACCACAAAAACAAAACAACTCACTGCTAGGAAGTCATTGCTGACTCTTGGTGACCTGTGGGCTTCCAAGACTGTAACTTATGGGAGTAGAAAGCCCAGTGTTTGTCCCGAGAAGCTGCTGGTGGTTTCAAACTGCCAACTAGGCAGATTGCAGCGCAATGCTCAACCACTATACCACCAGGGATCCCTGATAATTTCAATAGGTTTCTCATTTATCATAATGTTGCTTATGAGGATTTTTGCTTCATGTTGAGGTGTAAACCGTATGGAAAGCTATAGTCTCTGGTTCTCATCAGCTATTGTTTCAAGCTTCAACAAGCAAGATTGTCACATGCATATCATAGGTTGTTAATAAGCCTTTGTCAAATCCTGAGGTCCTATTCTTCATATAATCCAGTTTCTCTGATTTGCTTAATGTACAGATTGAACAATATGGTGAAAGCATGCAACCCTGATGCACACTTTTCCTGACTTTAACTCATTCAGAATCCTCTTGTCTTACTCGAAACACTGTCTTTAGGTTTCCATACAGGTTCCTCTCAGCTCATTTTTGTGTTCCGGGATTCCCCTTCTTTGTAATGTTATCCATAATTTTCTGTGGATACAGTATGTACATAGAATTATAAAGAACTCTACATAGAATTATAAGAACACCCATTTTAAAAATAATCCAAATTTGCTTTTATTTTCTTGTCAAATAGATCAGTGGTTCTTAACCTGTAGGCAGCGACCCCTCTGGGGGTCAAACAACCCTTTCACAGGGGTTTCCTGATTCATAACAGTAGCAAAATTACAGTTATGAAATAACAATGAAAATAATTGTATGGTTGGGGGGTTGTTACCACAACATGAGGAACTGTATTAAAGGGTCTTGGCATTAGGAAGGTTGAGAACCACTGCTTTAGATTGTCCACTATTCCTAGGGAAACTATAATCTGTGTCTGCTGAACTAAAAAAAGACTCAGGTGGGAAAATAATTTTGATAAAAATTGATCAAAGAGATTGTTTATTGTATTTAAAGACACATATGTGGTGTCTTGATGCAAGATACCTGTTGCATTATGGATGCAAGTAGAGGAACATGAATTTAAGATAATTTTTAGAGACTTTTAGATAGGCTATTTAAAACCTTTGAGTGTATTAAAATGTATTCCTTTTTATATCTTATTAATTAAAAAATAGGCGAAAAGAAAGGAATTTATATAATTGTATCAACCACCATTAGTAGTGTCCTTTTGTCATAAAAGTATCTGGAGAATGTTTAAGGGGAAAAAAAGTGTGCTCTTATTGAAATAAACTTACTTCAGAGTAAGTATGGATTAAACAGTGTACTTATGATCCAAGAGACACCATGACATTCTTATTTTACAAGACCTCCTTAATTTCTATTTCTTTTGAGCCCCTTAATGTGAATAAACAATGAAAAATAGTAAATACATTGATGTTAGCACTACAGAAGGAAGGAATGCGTATTGCCCCTAACTCCAAACAGCAAGGAGAGTAGTCAGATTTGTATCCGAACACATTTTAAAGTAGTGTCCTGAAAAATGAAAGAGGTGTGTGTGTGTGTGTGTGTGTGTGTAAAGGCTCACAGGAAACAATTCAGTGTAGCAAATGTTCATGAAATAGTTATGATTTATGAGACAGTTTGCCTTCCACAACTTTTTAAATACCACATTGGCATTCGTAAGGTGAACCATAAATTCTATCAAATGTATTAATATTGACTCCTAATGTTTGTTAGTGATTATATAGTGGGGTCTGACAGGACTACCTTACACATAACATTGTTGGGCCCTGAGCATTCTTTGTGATCCCTGATATATTTGAGTCTATTGTTGAGGCTCTTATCCCCTAATGATAGAAGTTGGAAAATTACTGAACTAAAAAAAAGATACTTTAGAGAAAGGTTTTCCGGGAATTTATGTGTGGTTTACTGCATGCAACTTTAAGATATGTAGAACTTTTTCTCCTGAAATCAATAGGTCTCTGACTTCTTGGATGCGAACAAGGAACTAAGTTGTGGAGCTTATAGAATCTGCTTAAATAGTCTAAACCAAATAAGACATTTTGAATTGGCTGCTGAAATTACATTGAAAATTATGTTCTTAATGATGTTCTAAATATTACATCAAACTAATTCTTTGATCTCATCGCATTGCTCTTCTCTTTTCTGCATTCTCCAGAATATCAAACAGATTAAGAAATGTAAAGGTATATATATACATATATAACCCTATATACCTTTATATACAAATATATATTCAATTCTCAGGTAATATAATTTTCTTAAAATTATAAAGTCCTCTAACTCTAAGGTAATACATACTTTTTATATCAAAACTTACTTGAAAAGAAGCCTTGATGTATCTAACAATAGTGACACTTTCATATATATTATTTAATCTTTGCCAATACTCGACACTTATTACAATGCAAATTCTATGTAACTAAGAACAGGATATGAATGTACAAGTTAAATGAGTCAACATAGATTTTCTTAAAGATAGAATATAGTAGCATTGTAGTTTCATGTTGCCAAATAGGTAGTATCTACATTAGACAAATATCTATGGAGCCCTTTTATGTTCCAAATGTTAGCCTGCGATCACATATAAATATATAAGGAGAATTTCACCTTTGATATTACAATGTAGTTTGTCACTAACATAACAATAGATTTGCACTTACAATATCAGATAATTATTCTGAGAATGAAATATAAAACTTCTAACAATTTAGAACTGTGAATAAATTGGGTAGACCTATAAGCACGGATTCTTTTCTACCAACTCACATCGGCTCTTTTCTATCAATCATTTCACGCATGCTCACTCTCTCTTGTTTTCCTTTCTGTTTTTTTTTTTAACGCACATGTATGCAGATTCTTCCCAGTCATATCCCTTACCTTCTAAATATCTCCAACCCCTCATGCTGCCCTTAGTATCACTATAGTGCTGAGAAATGCAACTTTGGAAGGGATGCTCCACCCATGCTTCAGTAAAACACTGGCATGACACAACTGTGTAGAGTGTTTAACTGTGCCCAGGATTTGGTGAGCTTTGTTACTGTTTGAAAAAAAATTATAATGCTTCCGACATGTTTTAGTATGCATCACATTCAAATAATATTTCGTAAATCAGAACCTATAGTAAATAGCATTTTGGACACAACTCAAAGGGAAGAGTTCATGGGACACTGGCTGCTTTGGTAGTTTCTTCTTAAAGTTCTTCCTTTTTAAACAACAGTTTTTAGTTTAGGCTTTTTTTTTAACGGTACACATTTTAAAAAATTGGTAGATGCAGTTTCCTTGAAATATGTTTTAGTCATTCCACGCTTAGATTGTTTATAAGAAAAAAACCCCCAAGTTATTCAGCTATTCCCTCATCCCAGGAACTTCTTGATTAAAAAAAAATTACTTCAATAATCATCAGTATTCTTAAAATTATAGGCATTAGCTCACATTTTACAGCATAAGTATTCCATATCATTTATACATATTATATGTACAATACATGTGTATGTATTATGCTCCTTTTGTCCAGTAAGTTGAAAAAATTTAAAGTATTCCCAATACTGCAGGGTAAGGTTGATATTTCAAAAATATCTTATAATTGTCTCCATTCAGTAGAATTCTATTGTGGTACCCTAATTATAAAATGTATGCTTGGTATAGTATATCAAACTGCTGAGATGTTCTTCCTGACTCCCTGTCGTTTGCCTGCCTGCCTGTTTTTGTTCTTCCTTCACTTCTTTCTAAGATGGATTACTTTTTGCTCTGTGATAAACTATAATACGGGTTCTACATGCTCCCATCCCAATTTTATGTTTGCAGTTAACAAAGCTTTTATGCTATCTCATATTCATATAACATTATATATGCATTTATGATTAATAGGCAAGGGCTCCAATGAAATGTAGACTTTGAGTTCCATCTTCTTCTTCTTTTAAATCATTTTATTGGGGGCTCGTACAACTTTTATCACAATCCATCCATCCATCCATCGTGTCAAGCACATTTAGTTCCATCTTCTTAAAACACTATGTACTCTTGTGTGAGGTTCTTGACTCAGTGGATGTAGAATTTCAGAGATAATCTAAAGAACACAGAGGCATTTAACTGGACAATGCTAACTGTGACAAATAAAATATAAATGATAACATGAAATACTTCATTAATTTTTTTCCAGGAAAGTCATTCAAAATGCAAGTTATCTCAAACCATAATCCATTAAATACTTTAGTAAGCCAATAATCCCTAATTATTTAGTATCCTTCAATATCTTTTAATGCAGTCTGTAAATCAACTATTCACTAATCCATTAAGTATGGCACACATTTATTTATATTTTTTGTAATAGTGATTTGAGGAAAGGGATTTTAAAAATGCAACTGTGTGCTATTTTCAAGACTTTCAATTGTTTATTCTAAAATTGAATACAGACATTTTAGGCATTACTATGAGAATAATGCACTACATACAAAGGAAAAACAATAGATGATTATTCAAAAGCAAAACAAGTGTAGAGATTATCTGTCAAATTTCTACAGAACTCAAGAAGACTACAATGTCCAATATTTTTAAACAAAATTGGTTGATTTGTACAAAAAAAAAAAAAACGTTGATGAAGAAGAACAAAAAATTTAACCTCGAAACTAATAATTTTAAATATACAGTGAAATGCTAGCCTATTTTTTTTTTTAACCATGAATGTCATGGAAATCTAGTGTGGGACATGTTAGGGTTTTTATTGTTTTTCAATCATAGTGATAAAGAATGGACAGGGTCTATGTAAAAATTTAAGTCTTCATAAAAATCTTACGTAAGAAGAATCTGTGTTTTATTTTGGGATTTCTGTCATCCTAGGTATTTTGGAAATATTTGCTGTGTCTCAGGGGATTGTAGGAATACGAGGAGTTTTCAGCAACAAATTTTTAGCGATGTCAAAAAAAGGAAAACTCCATGCAAGTGTAAGTAGAACCACTTTATATTTGTTAATGATGTTATGGAGATTTTACATTTTAAAAACAGCATAAAGTGATCTTCCAAAGTTGGTAGATAGGACAATTTCCCCCAGAAAACCAACATTAAAAAATATCATATATGTATATTTACCATTATATATGTATTTGATTTTATAAAATTCCTTTAAATACTTTATTTACACAGAAATACTTTAGAATCCATGCACACACAAAAAATTCAAGGGAAGATCTATTTTGAAAGTGAGTGTCAGTATTTATTAAAAGTGGTGCAAATAATGAGAAAATATTGTCTATAAAATATACTACACGACTTTAAAGTTTACACTTTAATGGCGATTTGACCTTATTATACGTGCGAGTGCGAGTATGTGCTTAACACAGGGCCACGGTGACACAATGATTAAAGTGCCCAGTTGCTAACCACAAAGTCAGCACATAGAACCCACTGAGTCTGGGGCAAAGATGTGGCAATCTGCTTCTGTGAAGGGTCCCACCCGTGGGAACCCTCAGGGCCGATTCTACTCTGTCCTCTCAGGTTGCTGTGAGTGGGAATGGACTTGACGCAGTGGGTCTGAATTTTAATTTGTTGTTTTAAAAAAGTCATTATTTAATTCTTAAAAAGTATTCACGAAGTCAAATATCAGATCTCAATAATACACCATTTTCATATATAAGCATGGAAGAAAATAACTAATAATGAGAGAAGGCTCTAACTTTCTAAAAATAAATTGAACTTGATCTGAGGGATTCGCATGCTATTTTTGATTACATTAAAAATAATTAATTCTATATTTTCTATGACCAAGCGGTCAACATCTACCTAAGATAAAGACTGAGAAAAGATTGAGAAAGAGTGAAAATACAAATGAGAATGTTGACACATTGGGAAAAGACAGGGCCAGTGGCATGGAACAACATGTATAAAATTTGTTCAGTGGATACCTAATTTGCTTTGTAAACACTCACCTTCAATACAAGAAAATAGCTTTAAAATTGCTTATTTAAATTATGGAGATTACAAATTTTGCAGCTTAAGATATCCTTTTGATCAGTTATACATTTTTCAAGTTAATCAAAATATATACAGGTTTACTTGAGCTTGTGTTTATGTACTATACCCCAAAGAGTCTCACAATATTTTGCTAGTACCCAGGTTTTGTCACCTTAAATTATTATTTTTTACAAATATCCTATAAAATTAGACCTTTAATCTTTGTTCCCTTTATTTTTTTACTAAGTGTATTGGAGAAATATTATTTTTTCCCCAATTTCCAAAGCATATTGAAACAAAACAAAACGCTGTTGTCAAGTTGACTGTGGCTCATTTAAAGCCTGCGGGGCAGTGCTGAATGACACCACAGGGCTTCTGGGGCTGCAAATCTCTATGGAAGCAGACTTTCCCTCCACAACACCCCTCCCCCCCCTCCCCCTCCCCGTACTCTCTCTCCAGGAGCTGCTGGTGCTTTTAAACTTTTGCCCATCTTTTGGTAAGTAGCCAAGTGCCAACACAGCTCCTTTCAAAGTATTTGGGGTATTTTAAATAAGAGTGCAATCAACTGAAATTAAGCAATAGAAATTTACTTTAGAAATCTTTAAAAATTAATGAGAATTTCATTTGGTTTAATGTGTAAGATTTTTTGCTATCTAGTGTTTTAAAATCATCTTGAAGGTGATTTGTAGATACCACTTGGAGGGGATAATAGAATTTGAACTATTTCTACAAGTTATTTGAGGATTAAATGATATAATACATGTAAAGTACCCCGAACAGTATTTTGCACATTCTTAAGTGCCTAATATCTATTACAGATATTCATATAATTGAATATATTCTAAGTCAATAATTTCACAACATTTCAGTTTACTAAAATTTGTGAGAAATCACTATTAAACTCTCTAAATTCGCAGAATTGTAAAAAGATTTACTTATTTGTTTTTCTGGGCTGAGTATTAAACTCAAGAAAGTTATAAGACAGTTCTTATAAAATAATTGTTTTTTGATGTTTTTCCATTTATTTATTTTAAGGGGTAAAGTTCTTCATTGGTATAGAAAAAGTAGTACATGACATTAAAACCAACATTTCATTAAAAAAAAACACCCCAAACTACCAATAGAATAGAAACCAATGATTAAAAGTACCTGATAAAAGAACACAAAAAAACTTGTTCTCATTTTATTTTAAAAATTCAAAAAATTAAAGAACTTTCAAAACCTAAACATCATAAAAATACAGAATACATATAAAGAAGCTTTCTCTGATCAGTTTATTGACTGGTTAAATCTCATCATCTTTGTTTTTTTTCCCTGTGTTCTGATTTGGGCTTATTGTATGTGCAAAAAATAGACTATACTTGGACCAGCTTAAGAATAATTGCCATAGAAATGGAAGAATTACAAATGGATGCCAATTAGAAAGGTCAAACCAAGAGGTTAGGATACGTGATTCCTCTGTCAACTGCAAGTAACAAATTTATAGAAATCTGACCCAAATGTCTTAGGATGGCTGCTTGAAATAATGCAGATAATGCAAAAACAACATCTGTTATTCTTTCTCATCTTGGCAGTCTAAAGTTATTTCATGGGATGACTTTGGAACGGTACAAAGCAAGTCTTGCTCTTGTCACTCACCAGAGCTCTTTGATATAAAAGTCATTCTGATGACTTTGAGCTGAATTGTAGATAAAAAATTAAGCCCTACAAAAAAAAATTAAGCCCTACAATTATGTGGATACTTTAAAAAACAATTGACCAAGCCAGCTGACTCTTATATGAGTTTTTACTAGCACTTTATCCCTAGATGGAAACAATTAAATTACAACGTGGTGATTTCTTTTTAAGGATGTTGAATTTAAAATTATTATCAATTCTAACAAGTATCAATTTTATGCCCAGATTCTTTGTTTCTAATTTCTAGTTAATTCCATTGAATTTTTTTCCACTGAATTTTTTTCCACCTCTTGTAACTTTAAATATTATTTGATTTATATAAAAGTATGTTGTCAACAAATAAGTGAAAATACACTTTAAGAGTCAGAAGTTCTATTTTGAGGTTTTTCTTTACATGAGTTATTTTACATGAATAATTGTGCAGAGATATTTAAAAGTTACTTTTAGGATTGTATTTTAAAACTATATGTGCTAAATGTGTGGATTATTCATACAATTCTGGGAAAAATAGTTGCCAACTATTCATAGATAATTGTAGATTTTAAAGTTGGCATCGACAGCTACAGTCTTTTAAACATTTCCCACTATTTCTTTTTAAAAGCTATAAAGATTGGTAGGTAAAAGTTAGAGTGGAAGATGGCATTCGATTTTGTTTGGAAGGAATTACATTGCTTTTATCAATTCTATTTTGGAAAGTAACATTTTTTTTAAGAACAGTTTTATATTACATTAAAAATGGACAGGATGGTGTAACCTTGTTAAATTTGTAGATCTCGAAGAGTTAAGTAAGTAGGAAATTTTGGATTTGTAGTTCAAGTTGCAATTTCCCCGGACATTTCCTTTCTAGCCGCTGCTTCTTGCTGTCTCTTTCTCTCTCTTTTAGAGCACATTTTGGTCATCTACTTCTGTTTAGCTGTACTTGATCTTAAAAGTCTAGTAAGGAAGGGGTGTGCTTCCCACAAGTGGATCACAGAGCTTTATAAATGTTCCTTATTCAGTGTGATGATAAGTTGTACAGAGAACTTTCAAAAGAGAAAAGAAACATTCATTGCTCATAGAAGACCACCTGGTAAATGACCCCAGAGTCGGTGCTTCCAAATATGGCTGGCTGAAATACCAGTGCAGAATGGTTAGATTAAACCAAGGTTTATGTCCATTTTATTTTTGTACTACGATTGTTAATTCAGAGTAGTTTTATTTTATTTCCATCCATCTACCTGTGTCTTGTGCCCTGCAACTTATTCAAGCCCCTTAAAACTTTTACATGGACATTAAAACTTAGACTCATCCAAAGCACTGCCATAGAGTAGATTTGACTCCTGGAGACCTTTTTAAGGATTTCTGAGGCTTTGTGAAACGGACTCTGGTGATGTCGTTTGTGACCTCCATGGCCCACAGTTCAAAATCACGTGCAGCTCTGCTGGAGAAAGACTGGGCTTTCTACTCCTGTAAATGGTTATAGTCTCAGAAACCCACAAGGAGTAGCTAGTTATGAGTCAGCTTTGGCTTGATAGCAGTGAGTTTGGTTTTGGGTTTGAAGCTTTGTAAATCTTTACGAAGTCTCAACTTTCATGGAGCATCTTCCTGACTTTGCTTATGTGGCAGCGTCACCACAAAACAAACAAAACAACAACAAAAACCAAATCCTAAGTTGATTTCGACTCATAGCAACCCTACCGGTCAGGGTAGACCTGCTGCTTGATGGTTTTGAGACCCTAACTCTTCACGGGCACAGAAAGCCTAGCTATTCTCCTGCGGACCATCTGGTGATTGGCAGTCCAACGTTGACCAATATGCCACCAATGCTCTTTATTAAAACCACCACAAAACCAAACCAAACCACTACCAGTGAGCTGATTCCAACTCATACTGAACCTATACAGGGTTTTCTAGGCTGTAAACCCGTACTGAAACAAAAATAGATTTTTTAGCATTTTTCAAAGGTTGAAGGTGCACAGGAATCATTCAGAGTAGGAATAAGTGATTGCTTCCCAGACAGTTATAAAGGCAGATAGGGTCAACATTCTGTCCTTTATTTTCTCAGACCTCTTCCTGGAGCTGAGCACTCCTGTCTGCCTGTCAGCAGCTGTTCCCTCTTCCTCCTCTTTTAAACCGAACAAGCAGCTTTCGACTGAAAGCCCTATGGAAAACCTTTCTTGATTCATGTGGGGTGAATCGAGGTATGGTAGCTAAGGGGATCCATGAGTGGTACAGATGATTAATGAGCTCAGTTGCTAATCAGAAGGTTGGAAGTTCAAGTCCTCCCAGTTGGAAGAAAGATCTGGCAATCTACTTCTGAAAAATTATCCCCCTAAAA